AGAAAAACCCTGCTCCAGCCGGAGAAGAGGATCTCCTAATGAACCCCTTTTCTAGCGATTCTTTAACATACTCCTCCATGATACGGTTTTCTTGAATAGATAAAGGGTACACCCTGCCCTTTGGAGGTACAGTGCCAGGCAATAAATTGATAGCACAATCATAGGATCTGTGAGGCGGTAATTTATCAGCTTCCCTTTTATCGAATACAGTTTTGAGAAACAAGTACTGAGGAGGTATAGCAGTAGACAAAGGAAGAATAGTAGGAACATTAATGGTATTTAAAGTGGTGACTTTAATCATACAAGAGTCGTGGCAGGTTTTGCCCCATGATTTTAATTGTCCCAATTCCCAGTCGAAAATGGGATTGTGAGAACATAACCATGGGTACCCTAACACGATATGAGAAGAGGGATAGGTGATAACCTGAAACCGAATGGTCTCAAAGTGTAAAACCCTTTGAATAATGATACAGTTTCATGGGTAACGACTGGAGTATTTAAAGGTCTACCATCTATGGCCTCAATGGCCAAGGGTATCTCTCTCTCTCTGATGGGAATGTTATTTTTCGTAACAAACCCAGAGTCAATGAAGTTCTCAGCAGCCCCGGAATCAACCAAGGCTAGTATGCTTTCAGCTATACAACTCTCTCCCGTATGAAGGGAAACAGGGAGAAGCAAATGGTTAGGAGGCAATTTAGGAGACTTAGATATCACACCCAAGGCCAGTCCCCTATAAGGTCTTAGGTGCGAGAGTTTTCCGGAAGCAAAGGACATTCTTTTACCATATGGTCTCGCCTACCACAGTATAGGCAGAGTCCATTCCTTCTTCTAAGTAATTTTTCAGTATCCGAGAGTTTGGCAACCCCTAATTGCATGGGTTCCTCTTCGGATACTTTAACACTCTCAGGTTTATCAACTCTGGGGTTAGTAGGTGTGACCAAACGTCTATTCCTGTTCTTAGTATAGAGCCTGTCACGAATCCTATTATCTATATCAATGAGGTAGTCAATAAGGTCCCCTATTGGAAGCTCCCTTGCCGCTACCTCATCTAATATAGTGTCAGATAAACCTTCCATGAACGCAGTAGTTAACCCATTATTGGTCCAATCTACCTGTGAAGCAAGGGTACGAAACTGAATAGCATAATCAGCCACAGACCTAAAACCCTGTTTAATTCTCATTAATGCTCTTGCGGCATTCTTTGACCTTTTTGTTGTGTCAAAAGTTCTACGAAAAGCCGTAAGAAAGCTATTGAAATGATGCACCATAGGTCCATTGGCCTCCCAAATAGGATTTGCCCACTCAAGTGCTTTGTCAGTAAGTTGATGCATCAAAAACCCCACTTTAGACCTATCAGTGGGAAAGGAATGTGGATACATCTCAAGGTGGAATTCTATTTGATTAATAAAACCTCTGCATGTCTTAGCTTCCCCTCCATACCTAGGAGGAGGTGTTAAATGGGGCGAAGTATTAGGTGAATTGGATACTTCGGGAAGAAGAGGTGGAGGAGGGTTAGGTGCGGTTGCAGGAATAGTTCTAGACAAGAGCGTCTGGAGAGCCTGTGCTATCTGATCCATACGGTGATCCTGCTCTACAAACCTTGCCTCGTGAGAAGCCATTTGCTGAGCCAAATCTGCGGGGTCCATGGCCCCTATCGTAATGTAACGAGAATATACCCCAACACGCAGGATTCAGCTAAACAGAAGACAACACAGAGGAGAGATACGTCTACCGGACCTTAGAATGGCTGGACTCGACATATATGAGAGGAGACAGAGTCAGGAACGATCCGAAGTCAAGGGCACAGAGAGACAGCGTAAACTAGGACTAGCCGGGGTCTGGTACACAGTAAACAGCAAGCCGGCAACCAGAACAGATAAGGATAAAGAGAAAACGTCAGAAACAAAGCCAAAGTCAATACGAAGAAAACACAACTGAACACAACAAGCGCTAAAGGGAACTGAAACAGAAACCACGATACTTGTTGTTGAGAAGTACAAGTCAGGGTTAGGTTATAAAGAAATATCCAAATCTTTGATGATCCCCAAGAGCACCATCAAATCTATCATAACCAAATGGAAAAAACATGGCAACAGCAAACCTGCCAAGAGACGGCCGCCCACCAAAACTCACGGCCCGGGCAAGGAGAGCATTAATCAGAGAGGCAGCACAGAGACCTAAGGAAACCCTGGAGGAGCTGCAGAGCTCCACAGCAGTAACTGGAGTATCTATAAATAGGATGACAATGAGCTGTACGCTACATAGAGTTGGGCTTTATGGCAGAGTGGCCAGAAGAAAGCCATTACTTTCAGCAAAAAACAAAATGGCACGTTGTGAGTTTGCGAAAAGGCATGTAGGAGACTCACAAAATGTATGGAGGAAGGTGCTCTGGTCTGATGAGACTAAAATTTTACTTTTCGGCCATCAAAGAAAACGCTATGTTTGGTGCAAACCCAACACATCACATAACCCAAAGAACACCATCCCCACAGTGAAACATGGTGGTGGCAGCATCATGCTGTGGGGATGTTTTTCAGCAGCCGGGACTGGGAAACTGGTCAGTGTTGAGGGAAAGATGTATGGTGCTAAATACAGGGATATTCTTGAGCAAAACCTGTATCACACTGTGCGTGATTCCAGCAGGACAATGACCCCAAACACACTGCTAAAGCAACACTTGAGTGGTTTAAGGGGAAAGATGTAAATGTGTTGGAATGGCCTTGTCAAAGGCCATACCTCAATCCAATAGATCTGTGGTCAGACTTAAAGATTTCTGTTCACAAGTGCAAGCCATCCAACTTGAAGGAGCTGGAGCAGTTTTGCAAGGAGGAATGGGCAAAAATCACAGTGGTAAGATGTGGCAAGCTCATAGAGACTTATCCAAAGCGACTTGGAACTGTGATTGCCATAAAAGGTGGCTCTACAAAGTATTGACTTTAGGTGGGGGGAATAGTTAAGCACATTGACTATATCTGTTATTTTGTTTTATTTGTGATTTGCTCACAGTAAAAAAAAAAAGATCTTCAAAGTTGTGGGCATGTTCTGTAAATTAAATGATACAAATCCTCAAACAATCCATGTTAATTCCAGGTTGCAACAAAACACAAAAAATGCCAAGGGGGGTGAATACAACTGCAAGGCACTGTATACGGTTGATACCTATCATCCAATTAGTTCTTCTATTTCCAAGAATTTCCTCTGCCATCTATGTCTGTTCCATCTTCTTCCTCCCGTTGCCAGCAATGTTCCATATACAATGCTCAGGGCATAGTTCATAAGGAGGACGGCAAACTAATGAATTATGAGAACTAGTTCATGGGAACTGCATCATGAGGTTTGAAACCACAAGCATCATGTTAAAATTGCAGGAACAACACATAATATTTATGTTAAATATGTATACCCAAACTCACTCTATCTATCCATCTATCCATCCATCTAGTTTTTTATCACTCTATCTATCTATCTATCTATCTATCTTTCTATCTAGCTTTTTATCACTCTATCTATCTATCTGTGTCTGTCTGTCTGTCTATCTATCTGTCTGTCTATCTATCTAGCTTTCTATCAGTCTATCTATCTGTCTGTCTGCTTGTCAATCTATCTAGAGCAGAGTTAGGCAACCGTTGGCACTCCTGATGTAGTGGACTACATCTTTCTTGATGCTTTACCGACATTATGGCTGTAAAAGCATTATGGAAGACACAATCCACGGCATCTGGAGTTCTGATGTTTGTCTATTCCTGATCGTGAGGATACACAACAGTGAACATTGTGCTAAATAATATCATTGAAGTCTGGTGAAGACATCATACACCATGAGACTGAAAGGTGGTTTACAAGTGTCACCAGTAACCCCCCAAAAAGTTTTTCTTAAAATTTGAACTGCAACAGCTGGAATATCAAAAATATGTCCCCTTGCATTCCAGCTTTTGAGGAATGTAACATACACACACAAATATATTGTGACATAGGAATATACATACAGCTATACACAAATATACACAAACACACATGCACACATGCATTCTCATTTCTATGTTTCTGAACACCAGAAAAAAAAATCTTAATTGCTTGTTAATTTACTGAATTTTACATATATTTTCTGTATTCCACAGAGAATAATCTATATCTTAGGTCTCATGTGTCTCAAAGTTGCCTTTGACCTTTTTCTAATTTAAAATATAGTGTTTAAAAAATAAATAAAGTGTAAACAGAAGAGACCAGTTTGCACGATTCAATTTAATTCTATTTGTATAATGTATGAACTTTTTTCATAATTATATTATCTGTACAGCTATATATTCTGTCCTTGTTTGTCTGTGTAGAAGCTTATTTTCTCCAGGATTAAATTTTGAAGACATTGTGGGAACTACGGAATATGTCAGTGTGTTATAATGACTTAGTCACAGCAGTAACAAACACGTTTTGTTATCCCTCAGGCAGGACATCACTTTCAAGTTAAACATTTGCTGTAGGGTGCTGACACAATTTAAGATAATGGTTGCAGTGAATTCAAACACCCAAATATAGAATTTATTGTTCAGTGTAAACTGTAGAACAGGAATGTCAACCATGTATTAAGCCAAAAAGTTGTTATACCTGTACCTGAAATAAAGTCAGAATTTTTGGATACCACCCTACGTGCCCAGGCTTTCTGTGCAAATCATCTTGCTGAGAATTCACCCTTCTCTCCTTGGTGCACCTAAGTGGATTCAATCTATTTATTACAAAAGTGTGTGTGCTTCCATTTTGTCTTACTAGAAGCATAGCATAAGGCAGGAGATATTTAAAGAAATATGCTAGGATGAAAAAATGGCAATTGTATTAATGTAATGAGACACTGATATCATAAAGTTCACTCTCTGATTTTTTTCTTGTGTTTTTTTTTTCTACTGATTTAGAAAATGTATGTACAACAACAGGATGTGTTACAGCAGGTATGTAACCAATAATTTTCATGATGTTGTTTAATAGCTATATAATTTGCTTTTGTGAATTACTATATAATTAATTAATTCCGCCTGAGGTATCAAGTTGATGACAGAATGGTAAAATATATGTCACGTTGGAAAAGTTTTTCACTCTAATTTTAACACTCTTATTTTATCCTAAGTTTGATTCTTATTAGTCTACAACTCTTTAAACCAGGCTTCCCCAAACTCCGGCCCTCCAGATGTTGCTGAACTACAACTCCCATAATTCTACGAATGAAAAAATAGGCTGAGAATCATGGGAATTGTAGTTCCGCAGCATCTGGAGGGCCGGAGCTTGGGGAAGCCTGCTTTAAACCATACCTATAGAGGTACACTGCAGTCCTTTTGTTCGGTCAATAGCTGTGATGATCTGTGTCCAAGCAATCGCCCTGATCCCCAATGCAATGCTTCTCTAAGAGAACCTCTGCATCCAATGCTTTTCATATCATCTGAATCGCACCCAGCATTTGGCATCAGCATATGTTAAATAAATACACAGGAAGTAAAATAGATTTAATTACTGAATCTATTTTAGACTAGTGCCCCCCAGAGTCGAAATGGCAGTCAAATTCCAACTTTTATCCGATTAAATATGATTGGAAAATCTGTGGCTAAAATATCTGATTTTAGTGAGCTGTAGTGGTTATGGTGCTCAGAGTATTCCTTAATACTAATGGGAATACTTAAAATGGCACCATAAAGAATAGCACTGTAATGACTCTGTATTCTTATGAACATCAAATTAATACACTAAATGTATATTTTGATCACCTTTTCTTACAGGCCCTTTGCTGCATTCTGATCTTGAATGTTTCACTTTTAACTGTTTATTATTTTAATTTGTTTACAGCTGCAAGGATTATTCAGAACATGGACCCAACTATTGAACCTTGCACTGATTTCTATCAATATGCTTGTGGTGGTTGGTTAAACAAACATGTAATACCAGAAACCAGCTCTAGATATAGTATCTTTGATATCCTCCGGGATGAGATGGAGATCATATTAAAGGGTATGTAATTAAATATCATCTATGTTATTTTGGAATTTAGGATCAGTGCAGATACCTTTTTAGACTATAATGAAATAATTTATATACTAGTTTACACTGTCAACATTTAGTGGTCTCAAAACAGTTGTCCAACACTATTATAAGCATGTCTGTTTATTTCCATTTATTTATGTCAATCTATTTATAATGTATCATTGTTCGTCTGCATTTCTATAACATATCGATACCTACATTTCTCTTTCTATGGTAGTAATTTGCTAGAGTCCACTGCTGGTATTTGTGTTTGTTTCACTTGAAAGTAACCCCAAAAATTCATTAGCTGACATAACTCAATTACAATGCCAAAAAAAAGGTATCATCTGGAACAAAAACACTCCACAGAAAGCCACTACGATAGTTTTCTAATAGGTGGCATTATGGTTTCACACGTGTAAAAAAGTCAGTGTTTGACATAGAAACCATGCCAGTGGTAGCAAGCATAGGATTTCATAGACATGTAAATGCAGGAGCCTCCTGTATGTAATTAAAGTTCGATTTACAGAGCATGAGATAAAAAAAACTTTTAAAGTGAGTTACATCTGATTGAAAGTGAAACCATTTTGTTTTTATGGAGTGTGTGTCAGTCATGGCCAGAAAAGGTTCGGCAATGGCTGCATAAACAGAAACAAACGTCATATAACTCCTAAATGACAGAAAATTGAGCAGTGAAACTCCAAAAAACCTGCTTCATTAAGCTAAAGTTGTTTTGGTTACTACTGTGTCTATTTAATATCTGTTGATATTTAATAGAGACCTAGGTGCCATGTCTAGGTCCTCTGGCAGAAAAACAGCCCAAAAATATTAACGAGCCATATTGAACCGTGAGTATGAGGTACTTTTCCATATGGCTACATCTCTGAGCGTGTCAAACCCACCTTTGTTGTTTATTGCCAAAAAGCTCTACTTTGGTTTCATCTGACCAGAGAACCTGATCCATTTAAAGTTCTAGTAGTGTCTGGCAAACTGAAGATGCTTGAATTTGTTTTTGAATGAGAGTGGAGGCTTTTTTTCTTGAAACCCTTCCAAACAACTGAAGATGATAGCAAATTGTAGTTTAGGAGACTTTCTGACCCAAAGACGCAACTACCTTCTGCAGTTCTCTAGCTCAGATCCTTTGATATTTTTTGGCCACTCAAACCATCCACCACAGTGTGTTGACACAATATAGACACATGTCATCTACCAGGTTGATTCAAAATAATCCCAGGTGACTGAAGCTTCCTAATTATTGGCCTGATAGTCGAAATGGACATTTTAAATGTGTTCCTATTTTCTTATAGCCACTTCTCATTTTGTTAACCCCTTAAGGAAAGCAAAGTATTACAAGTACAACAGTACCCCCCATGTACAGGTTTTATGGTGTTTTGGAAAGTTTAGGCTAGGCTCGTTAAGGGCGGCATAGAACGGCCATTCTTAAAGGGTTAAGCTCAACAACCTTTTGCCGCACCTCACAGCTGTAATCCTTGGGTTTACACATTGTAATGAATGACTAAGGGAAGTTGGCCTATGTGTTACCTAATATGTATACCCCTGTGAACCAGGAAGTATGCTTAATGGAATTGAGATTATTTTGACTGACGGTGATATCATGTTTTTTGTTTTTTTTTAAGGTTTATTGGAAATGCCAGAACAAGAAGACCGTGATGCCTTTAAAAAAGCCAAAATTCTATATAAATCATGTATGAATGAAAGTAAGTAATTTCGGTTGAGTAGTACTGTATGTGAAATTCACTAATAAGTTGTTTTTGGTTTTTTTACCAAACTGAATTCCTATACTTAAAGCAAAATGGGCAAATATAGAATGACCAAAACCAAAATGACTTATGCTATCCCATCAAAACGGTCCATCCTTTGATTTTCATGAAATTATATTTATACTATAAACATCTGAGGTCTTGCATATATGAAGGAAGGCAAGCCACAACTGCAGAGAGTGTTCTTTTATTATTATTTATTACAATGAATATTAGATTTATGTTACTATATCAGTGATGGCTAACCTTGACACCATAATTGTTTCTGGACTACATTTCCCATGATGCTCAGCAAGCTTTTAGACTATTAAAGATAGCCGAGCATCATGGGAAACGTAGTCCAGAAACAGTTTATAGTGTCATGGTTAGCCATCACTGTA